CTCGAACAAAAATTTTGTTCCGTGCCAATAGGTATATGGGAAACTGCATTCTATAAGTCGAATTTTTGTTTGAATTGGAAATGCATTTTGCTATTAGGGGAAGTCATTTATTCCGAACCAAATGTTTAATTTTTTCTTTCATATGCAGCTTCTTTGTGCAAATGCTAGTCGCTGGCAGCGTGGTTTAAAGTAAATAAAATAACGTCCAATGCTACTCTTAGCCCTTATATTGAGCTTGACAATAAAATTTGTACATCAAGATTTCCTACAGAAATCTATAGCCTTAATTACTGGATCCCACTCTAAGCGCAACGAAAAATGATGATGAGGGTTCGGTGGATGTTAGTGTTCATCAGCCTTCCAAGGATAAAGTAGACGACTAATTTAAAATTCTGAATTTATATTTGCAAACGAATGCTACTACAATTGATCATCACTATAAGAGTATGAAGAAAGTGGAATCTGTTTTTGATTGCAAATAAATAATTATCTTAAAATATAGTTCTAGTTTCCATTAAAACTAAAAAAAAAATAAAAAAATTCTCTAATTCGAAATCTCCATAAGTCGAACCTTCACTTTGCAAAATTTGACTTCGAGTTATGGAAGTTTGACTTTATGTATATATATCATACAGGAAACCAATGCGTTTAATAAAATTTTTAATGCAGTCACCTACATTAGTACTTATTTGACGTGGTGTTATTCCAAAATGCCTACAAAGGACTTTATAGGAATCAAACAAATCACGACACAAGATGTGCTTTGATAGGCTCTTATCAATATTAAAGAACATTATGTTTGAATTCTGTATTACGAGAGAATATGAGGTATTTTTAATTCGTCAGCAAGTATAACTAGAAAATGTCGTACATAAAGCAGGTTGCCACAGGCGATTTATCTGAAGCTTCGAACCAAAACATTAATACAAGAAAATAAAATGGAACGTAGAGCAATTTATAGACTAAAAGAGTGGCTACCCATAAAATGCCAAAACGAAATAATATTACTTATGTTCAATACCATCTCGCTTGATATAGTGGGCTTTCTTGTCATTTTAACTATGTCATGAGGTATTGATAAAAGTCAAACTACTTCACAAATACTGAAATAATGTATCATTCTCCGTCTCTAGAAAGGAAGTTCTATATACAACATAGAATATTCTTTTCAACTTTGGCTGAAAGAAACATATATAAGATATGTTAGATCAATATGATAAACTTCAAATATATTTTTATATAATATATGTATTTTTATAATAAATACCAAATTTTTATCAACTTTAAATATCAGATATTAGTATTGCCAAAATCAGAGTGATACATTTGCAAAGTTATATATCAACGTAAACTGTACCGCAAAATAAATTAAAATTTATATTTTTACAAAAAGCGAACTATATTTTCAGTTCACAGTTTCAACAAATAAAAGAAAGAAGACAATTTATCTAAACTTTGGACTTTTTATGCATATTAATAATTTGATGAAATCTTGTAATGCTTTTGATAACGCCAAGGATAAATTTGACACATTCAGCGCAGATTTTGCATTTATTGTGGAATTTGTTATATTAAAATTTCGTTATTATTATTACAATTTGTTGCAATTGCAAATAAATTTGCACAAATAAGTTAGTTAATATTATGCATATTTATAAATTTGCAATTTACGCAAAAATGGTATATAAAAGTGAAGGCAATTTAAGAGACAACAAACAGTTTATCAGTTAACATTCGACTTCGTACATCGAAAAAAAAAACAATATGCGTGCTTTTGTGGTAAAATAAAATATATTTATATAAATAAATTAAAAGAAAATATTAAATTAAATTTCTATTTAAAATGGACAGATACTATCCTGTTTGAGCGTAGCCTATGGAGCTAGTTTAGGATATGACTATTCACGAAATACTGCCGTACAGAGCGGTCATGACAACTTAAGTGGTCCCATCTCACCATACAACAAAGAATTTTACACCTTTTCCGCACCTGAAGCTAGTTTTGATGATGGTGGCCTTAACCAACAACTTTCGAATTCTCTCAAGAAAAATCTACGCGTCATATTTGTAAAAGGACCAGAAAGTTCAGGATTAGAAAATGCCGCATTACAATTAGCTAAATCTGCAACTGATGATCGTACTGCTATTTATGTATTACAGAAACAAGCTGATACCTCACAACTGGCACAGAAATTGAATTCTTTAAACAATAATAATGCCAATAGACCAGAGGTGCACTTCGTTAAGTACAGAACACCAGCAGATGCAGCTAATGCACAACGTACCATTCAAGCGCAATATGACAACTTGGGCGGCAGAACAAGCAGCCATAATGGAGGCGTTGCACCTGTATTGGATTTCTCATCAAAACCACAAAATGTTGGAGTAGGTAGCGTTTCAAACTTTGGTGGCTTATCAGTACCATCGGGCACATATTTACCTCCACACAAACGCATCTAAACTTCTTCTCATTTAGTGTATGAGTGCACATCTTTTTTTAAGAAATTCTAAATCAAAATATTTTGTAGTAACTTTAAGTTGTAACATTTTAAAGCCAAATATATAAAGATAAATACGAAAAAAATTGAATAAATACTTAAATTCCACATTAAATTTATTATAAATTGGTTAACGCATAAATGGTGAATTCAGTATCTAACTCAACTCTACTGAAATGTATCATTTTATTAGCCAAAAAACTAGCTGATCAGTAGCACAGACCTGCCAAAATAAGATTAATTATATTATTTTAGAAAAAGAAAAAAAATTTTGACTATGTGTAAAATTCCAAAAAAAAAATAATAATAAATATGTATTCCAACATATAGTATTAAATCTTATTGTTTAAAATTAAGATGATTGCATTTCTTCATTTTCCGGGCAACATCTATAATTTTATTGTTATTATGTAGTAACAACTTAAATTTTTGTTAAAAATAATATTTTTATAGATACTTTATTTATAAAACGTGAATAAATCGGCAAAAAATATGTTAAAATATTATATTTTATATAAATACAAAAAAACAAAAATTATTCAATTCAAATTAAATATTGCATAGTTTTAGACTGAATTAATTTTTAATTCCACGGTTCCAAAGAGTTTGAGATACATAAGTCATCTGTGTCATTGTAGCTATCACTTTCCAATACACTCATTTCCAGATGTTTATCCAGACCATTATTGAACATAAATTTCAATTTTTAAGTAACCAATTTTAATGGTTGTTTTGAAACTTTTTCAAAGCAATGTTCGCTAAAAGATACTGATAAAGAAAACTATTTGTATCTGTAATCCAAAACAGTTCACACGTTCTCACTCTTACCCATCAGAATACTAATATTGTTACGCATATCAAGTTTTTTGTATAGTAGTTAAGGGAAGTGACATACGTTGTAAATCGAATACATTTCTAGTCCATTCACATGGATTAGACAAGCATGAAAGACAAGCAAAGAGCGATTTCCATATTCTTGTCCTATATTAATTAAACCAAAAAAGTATTATGACATCAATTTATTTTAATTAATTTATATATTATTCAATAGATAACTTTTATGGCTGTAGATGCTTTAATACTACAAAAAGTTAAATAAATACTTATAGCTAATAATGGCTTCATCCATAATATAATGATTTGCCACCAGACCAATAATCGTAAAGCACTATACATATATGAAAAAATTCGTGAGAGATTATTCTTTTCATTCATATAAAGCTGTAAAAATAAACTGAAGGAAACAAAAGTTATGAACTTTTTAAAAAAATGCTATTATACAATTATACCATATATAATACAACAGTATTATATACTCAAAGCTGCTACTTAAAAATTTCCAAGATAACAACAAATTAAAAAAATTGTATGACTTTTATTTTTGTGAAAAATATTAGCCTAATTATATTTATTAATACTTTCAATATTTCATTTAAAATTAATTAATAATTTTAATTGTTAATAACTTTATGAAATTTTTAATGCCATTTATATAGCAATACTGAAGTAGGATTTTTTAAAACTATTATCGTGATGTAATTAAATTAAATTAAGAATTCTGTTTTATGTAATTAAATTAAATTAAATTAATAACTCTATTTCATTTAAATTAATTAAATCAAGTTAATAATTCTATTTTATGTAATCATATTAAATCAAATTAATAATTTTAGTTTATACGATTATATTAAATTTAGTGTATAATTCTATTTTACACGATTTAAGTAATAAAATTTAGTTAATAAATCTATTTTATATGATTTAACTAAATAACATGAAATGCATAATATGTAAAATATAATTAAAAGATTAAACATAATATTTATCAATATAATCTGTGATATCATTGCTACTAAAAGTCATAACCACGGTTGCCACTTATGGTACTTTAGTACCAAAATTGGTACTTTTTTTTCCGTTTGGTACTCTGGTACTCATGTTCAAAAAATGGTACATTTTCGGCGACCCAACTTTATTGTGGGTATTGTATTGTTTTATACTTTTTGTACATTTTATATAAATTGTATTTTCTTATAAAAAGACAATAGAAAAATTTTGGACCTTTTTTTACAGAAATGGTACCTTTTTAAACCAATTTTGGTACAGAAAAAAATTTTCAAGTGGCAACCGTGGTCATAACAATGTCGTCACTACCAAGCATATTACGAATTCGAACACCCCCAAATACACTTTACCCCTACGTGGTAGGCACCTTGACGTGGTGTAGGGGCTTAGCTACAGGCAAGCTTGCTGACTTTGGGTCTCCTGCTCATTGTCTATGCAATGGTCAGAAGACCTTTTTGTCGGTCTGGCTTGTGGGTACAACAAAGAACTACCAGTAGTTGTGTTGTCCTGTAGTTTATGTGCATGTATGTGTGTCTTTGTCTCTATGTATGCATGTATGTTCTTTGTGTTTTTAGAATGAATGGAAGTGTGTAGGTCCACTAGGTGTCTGGGGACCAGGGTTTATGACGAACCAAGACCGTTCATACGTGGTGCAGAGCCACATATTATGGCGGATCTAGAGAGGAAAACTCGATAAAACCCGCAATCCTGGGTGTATGAACGACCGTGCCCAAGGATGAATGGCACTGCGTAAGTGTGTCTTAGAACGGTGGACTCCGGATACCTGGCGACCTCCGGTTTCAATTCAGCCTTTCTGAAGTAAAGGGGGCTATGCTTCGGATGACCTCCCTTTCCCCTACACTCGTGGGAACATTTATGGATTCTTTAAACAAATTAAATAAACAAAAAACTAACAAGGAACTAGGTACCAGTTCCGAAGACGAGCTCCTGGCATCAAGCCAAGAAAACGAGCGAGTCGAAACCGCCATACTACCCAAAGTAGGCAGTAGCAGCCGCACTGCGCCTACTTCGCACATAACAGTAAAATCGGCAGACAAGCGCGCCAGCCATAGTGCGCCTGCCGAGAAATCAAAAAAGTCTGAGGCAAAGATCAGACGTCAAAGGTACCAGAAGGCCATGTTCATTCTTGGCAAGATTGCTAAAAATGAAGCTGAAGGTAAAGAACAGGCGTTTGACCGTACAGACAAAGTACGATATCAGAAGGTGGTCGATGAGTATAACGAATACCAGGCCACCCTATCAAAACCCGCAAAGGCAATGAAGAGTGATCGGTCTCAGGACGAGACGGCCCATACTTCAAAAAGCAAGGTAGCGAGAACGAGTTATACTAGTAAACCGTCAACGAGTGCGAAAAGGGCATATAACGAAGTAGCAAGGGATGAGCTACAGGTGGCGCTCATTGATGATATTACCGGGAATGGAAAAAAGGTGCTGGAGAAATGGGGCGAGATTGAGCCCAAGCTGGCTGAAATGGTGATGGAACACCTTCTAACAAATCTAGACGCCCCCACACCAGGCTTTGATTCATCAGAAGTGGTTCGTGGTTGCAGGGTCTTCAAATGTGATGACCAGCTATCTAAAGTATTTCTTGGCAACTGCATTGCTAAGGTAAGTGATGCATGGGAAGGTTTAAGGCTAAAGCTTATCCCAGCCAACGATATCCCTAGAAGACCAAGGGCCCGCATTTGGCTGCCAATTATGAAGATGGAGCATGAGAAAGTTCTCCAGCTGCTACAACGGCAGAACCAAAATGTGCCAATGAATGACTGGGTAGTCATCAAGGACGAGGGCACACAAAAAACCAATATGACGCTTCTTCTGGCGATAAACGAGGAATCCGTGAAGCCATTGGAAGAAATGGACTGTAAGCTGAGGTTTGGCGTACGGTACACCAAAATAAAAATATTCCGCCCAACAGGCAATGATGATGATGGCAAGGAGTTAGAGGATGCTAACAAAATGCTTGACGGTATGAAGCTTCAGGAAGAAGCTTCAGAAACCTCGTAAGCCTGCACGAATGCTGAAAGTAGCACAAATTAACCTTCAGCATTCGAAAATCGCATCGGACAATCTCGCCATCTTTCTCATAGAGGAGGATGTCGATGTCAGCATTGTGCAAGAGCCATGGGTCAGAGGTAAGGACATCATGGGGCTAATGCTGAAAAATTATAACAATTTATATATTAGGAACAATGGTAAGCCAAGATCATGTATCCTAGTAAAAAAATGTATTAATGCCTTTTTATGTCCACAGTATAGCGATAAAGATCTAACAGTCGTAAGGATCGAAATGCCAGGTGGACAAAATTTTATTGTGGCTTCTGCTTACATGGCACATGATAGAGATGCTCCTCCGGAAGAGGTAGTCGCGCTAGTAAACAGAAGTACATCAAAAGATATTCCCACGTTAATTGGATGTGACGCCAATACGCGGCATACGCTTTGGGGCAGTTCGGAAACCAATGACAGGGGTGAGTACCTTTTTGATTTTATTAGCAATTCGAACCTTTTAATTTGCAATAGAGGTAAAACACCTACTTTCACTTTCCCCAGTTCACAAGGGTTTGAAGGATGGGAAGAAGTGCTAGATATAACACTCCTATCCGAAAATCCAGATATTGTAGTTAGTAATTGGAAGGTATCTGACAAGAAATCCTTTTCGGATCATAGTTGGATTCTCTTCAACTTAAACATTAAACCAAATCATACCATCCCCTTTAGAAACCCGAAGAAGATAAAATGGGATATTTTTACAAGGGTAACTAAGGTGGAACTTAATAAAGTAGGACAAATTAAGATAGACTCTACTAGTAAGTTAGACGAGAGGATATATAATCTTGAGGCAGCTTTTAATATAGCTTACAAGAAATCTTGTCCAACAAGTAGAAGCAAAAAATCTTTTCCACCTTGGTGGAATTCAGAATTAAGTGATCTCAGGCAGAGAACACGAAAACAGTTTAACGAAAGCTATAAGGACAATAGTTGGCATGAATATAGGGAATGTCTTAAAGCTTACAAGAAAGCTATCAGGAAGGCCAAAAGTAATGGCTGGAAGGAATTTTGTAAGTCAATTGAATCAACCTCATCCTCTGCTAGGCTCAGCAAGGTTTTATCCAAGGAAAGTGCAAATCCTTCTTATCTCAAGAAAGAGGACGGCACATGGACTGAAACCTCTGCTGAGACACTAAGATTACTATTAGACACTCATTTCCCAAACTGTAACGATGATGCTAGAGAAAACGGTTCAGTCACCTTGGCAAGCACATCATCACAGATGACTGAAGAAATAGTCACAGCGGAAAAAATTAGGTATTCAATTAACAGTTTCTTTCCCTATAAATCGCCAGGTCTGGACGGTATTTTCCCTATTATGTTGCAAAAACTACAAGACTTAGTGGTTCCATGGTTAGGGGAAATTTACAAAGCGTGTCTTAAATATAGTTATGTACCACTTAGTTGGAGACAGGTTAAAGTAGTCTTTATACCCAAGGCAGGCAAAATCGGACATGAGTCCGCCAAAGATTACAGGCCGATTAGCCTAACTTCATTCTTACTAAAAACAATGGAGAGGGTAATAGAGCTCCACCTAAGACAAAAGGTAGAACGCTTTCCAATCTCTAAATCCCAGCATGCTTACCTCAAGGGTAGATCTACGGAAACAGCTCTGCATGAGTTTATTCGTACTGTGGAAAAATCGATTCATTTTAAGCAATACTCGTTGGCAACCTTCTTAGATATTGAAGGAGCTTTTAACAATGTAAGCAATAAAGCTATTCATGACTCACTTTCCAGAATAGGTTTAGAGGAAGAGCTTAAAAATTGGATAATTACTATGCTTAAAACAAGGATTATTCAATCAAAGCTAGGCAGCATAACACAAACGAAGCACGTCAGCAGGGGTACGCCACAAGGAGGGGTTATTTCACCATTACTGTGGCTGCTGGTCGTGGATAATATTCTTAATATTCTAGATAAGATAGGTGTGAAAGCAGTAGCGTACGCGGATGACGTGGTTATTCTAGTGTCAGGTATGTTCCCTAACATAATTAGCGACATTATGGAAAGGGCCTTGGTTAAGATAAGTACCTGGGCCACAGGTTGTGGACTAGGTATTAACCCAGGAAAAACTGAAATGATGCTGTTTACTACTAAAACCAAAATACCAGCTTTCAGGTTGCCTTCACTAAACGGGCAACAGTTAAAACTATCGGAAAAAGCCAAATATCTAGGAATTCTGTTGGATAGTAAGTTAAACTGGAAACACAATGTCGATCTTCGTATCAAGAAGGCATGTGTAGCTTTCTATTCTTGCAAGAGGATGTTTGGCAAAAATGGGGGATTCATCCCGAAATTACCCACTGGATGTACACGGCAATTGTACGACCAATTC